GGTTCCCGCGACGTTGTTCGTGCGTCGGGGTTGTGCATGGAAGAAGAGGAGATTTGGCTAAGCGATGGCTTGGTCTAGAGCAAGGAAGGCCCCTACTTAGAAGTTGGCCTCGGTTGGAGCCTCTCGGCTACCTGGTTAAGGACCGAACGACGATGGACCGGTTACCCTGGATACACTTGTTGACATGCCTAGGAGTCGACCTCAGTGGCGTTTGTGTTGTGAGTGTCTTTGCTCCTCCGCCACTCGCTTAGACTCCCCTCCAACCAAGATCGCAATTATTAGATATAATATGAAAACTTTGCGGCACAATGGCCGGTTGTTAGCTATCCAGAATTATGTCCATCCGTTACTGGTGAGTTAGCGGGTATGCCACTGTTTCATTTTTCTTTTCTGTTTTGTTGTGGCACTATAGCTGAGATGTTTTCCACCTGCAGCTAACGTTTACGATGATGATGATGGTCATATGCAATCCTTGATCCACCTTTTTTGAAATCGATCTTACAGATGAGAAATGCGCAGTCTAGTTAAGTTGCCACACTTTACATTTTCAGGATTTTACTGCGCGTAAGATTTTACGCACACTATGCAATGCAGCTTCTTGTTACTTGCTTTCTAGACTGTGCTGTTGAAATGAAGCGAAAACATCCTTTTCTTCACAAAGCCTGCATCACACATTTGTTACCGTGCGGGTTAAGGTGGAATATTTTGTGTAAAACTATTGATTATCAGATGGAGCGAAGGCACACTATGTTTGCGCAACAACTAAGATTTAAAAATATTGTCAGACGTCAGTTTGAACCACTATACTGTTTAACCGGATGAAATATTGTCTATTATGGTGGTACCTAGTGTTAACGGTTCTCCGCTCCGCGACTACCGTCAGCCGACTGCGGGTTAACTAAAGTGCGTCGTGTCGGTATCTAAGCAAGCTCCGATAGGTAAACTGTGGATAAAAGCCAAACACCTGAAGCACATCCACCGGTAGGCAAATTTGAACCAAAAGTGCTTAGTTCACCTACAAGTATGCTCCCAATTAATGACAGGTTTTTACCTACAGTTTTCTCCTGTTACCATGTTAAAACTTCTAATAAATCAACTCCAGATATAATAGCCATGCCGACGACGTTCAACAGCTGCCGTTTCCGCTGTAATAATTTAAGATAGTTACACTGGGCCATATCAAGCAATTTTGGAGGTGGAAGTACTTTTTACGTGATCAGGAGCAAATCATGGCGCTCGATATTCGTCATTCTAGCGGACGTATGTCATCAATAACTCAGCCTTATAAATAACCAAATAGTGAGTGAACATGCATTGCTTCGTAGCACGTCACTCCACGACGTGATATGTCTTACTTAAAATCTTTAAGCCGGGCTAATCGAGGATGAGATTGGAACTCAAGAAAGAAATGGTTGCTGGTTTAGCTTTTCATCAGGTAGCTGAGCACATCTAAAGCAAAAGATCTCAGCCTGCGTAGGCTAGTATTGACATCTAGCACCACATGCCACTGCATGGGTGCTGCGTGCCCGTCAAATATCCCCGCACAAGGGTGCCACAAACTTCGGCGTAATGGCTGTGGAAAGCGGAGTTCAATTCCTCCTGCCAACGTAGCAGATTTCAGCCACCCCGAGACGCGGCACAACTGCACACGTGTTGACAATGTTCTTTTACTAATTACCACCCCGTCACGGTAGCTATTTTCACTAACTTAATGACTGTAGCTGTGATTTGCGCTTTGTTGGTCGTAAAAGAGACTTCAGGGGATCACTTGTTTTGCTTACTTTTCACCTTTATTTGGGGGTCAGTTCGGTCACGTGCTTTTTGTGTGCCTCGATAGCCGGGTGGTATTCGCGTCTAAGCCACTAGAGCGGGTCTACCGTCACCCCCTATCGTGTGCGTAGCCTCTACCTGAACACGTGTGGCTAGGAACCTTCTCACTCTAGCGCGAATTTTCGCCTCACCAGCGAGTACCCCCGGGATAAGCTAACGCCATCACGTCAGCGCAAATCTGTTCTACCGGTCAGCGTTCCAAGCCGTTATCGTAGGTGTGCTCAAACCGTGCCAGTGACAATCGTTTGAGGCTCAAATTCTTATCAGAGGCGTCTTCCAAATTCTTAACAAGGAGTAAAGCTTATGCTTCTCCACAGGGTGCAGCGGACACTATCCATTGTATTCAGCGACACCGTGGCCCAGAGAGACCAGTTTCACTTTTATTCACCACAGCAACGGTGATTTGCGTACTGTCCTGCTTTACTTCCACGCGGTCACCACTAACAGAAAGTGCCTGTCACTGTGTTGTACTTGGTAGCTAGAATTCCCCAGTGCCGTGTTCTAATGAAGTTGTGGTTATGTAGGGACAGCGCCTCTGTAAATACATACCAATAATACGTATATGACATAATTGTTCTGACTATGATCTTAGTAAGACTGTCAACTCCGTCTTATGTTCACATCTATCCGGCCTACATGCACCTTGAGTAGCCGACTTATTACTCTACCGGTTTTGTCTTCGCTGCTTCAGTTATCCGAGTATTTACACGGAAAGGTTGTGCGAGTATAGTGTACGTCTGTACCATTGGACTCTCTTTTTACTTCATTCGACGACGTTACACCTGTAATTTTCACAACAGTTGCACATTAAGTACTCAAGTAAAACGTGCAGCCCATTCACCATTACCCACTGTACCAGTAGTAGTTCCACGTCCTTAATTCGTCACACATACTAAGGTACATTCCGTTTTGTACAATTGTCATTTCGAAGTTAATTTGTCCGCCGTTTGGGGCGAATTGCAAATGTTTGCAACAGAATTTTGCTAGCTATGCACGTTGTTAAGTTGCATGTCTGGCTACATTGTAACCTCATTTGCAATTTTTACGGTTTCTGGTTCCTGGCGCTGCCTGTAAATATGGTTGTCGGCATCCGGTTTCGGATTTGCCTGTCACTGTGGCAAGCCACAAGACGCGTGCGCCTACAGAAGGACCATGGGGGGGTTTGCGCTGCACCACCCACAGCTCCAACCACACACCCCATATCCAGTGTAAACCCGAAGGAATAAGACCGGAAGACATGTGGATGGGGGCCAAGTTTTATCAACGGAGCCGGCCCACACTCCTTCGCAGGCAAACACAAGCACGTTGTAGTTGGGACTCAATCGCACACAAGACGGTGGTTGGACCGTAGTCCGCTCCACACTGAGTGCACGGAACCACACTTCGAGCCTAACACGGCCACAAGGACCGTGCACCCCGTCCCTTCCAGCAACGACCAACTGTGTGCTGGAGCCAGTATGGACGAGGTAATGTGTAATAGACAGGTAGGCACCATGTCAACGATGGAATGGAAAACATTTTCGGTGCACGCTAACATAGACTTTAATCACCTGTCATTAAAACAGTTAGATACTATTAGTTACCAATTATTATGCCGCTGTCCATAATTTAGCTTCGTTGTGATGATGTTCGTGTTTACTCATCAACAAATTTATATTTTGCAGAGTCACGAGCGATCCATGTTTGATTTCAATACATCTTTCATTTCTCAAGGCAGCGAGTGGCAGCAGACGACCGTCTTTAAATTTTTCGCTCCTGGTATTTTGCTTCAACCATCAAAACTAAGAATTCTATGCGTTTCGCATAAGGAATCATTAAATGGGCAAAAGTGTGTTTAACGTAATGTAGTCCTGATCTCTTCATTAAGAGTTTGTTGCTAATAAGAAACCATGTCATATAAAAAGGTGCCCAGAAATAGAGTAGTTTGCTTTCATTGCTGAAAAAATTACCAAATTTCTTCTTAATGGCACCTGCAGTTATTGATGTGTGCGCTGTATGTGAATGGTGGTGTAATCAGACTTAGGAAAGCCTTCCAATTAAAATAAAGAAAATATCAGTTAGTGACTTACCTATTTCTAGCAGAATCTGTTGACCAGTTTAATCATCTTGTCTGTGAGTAAACCTTTGGCACCATAAACGCTTTTTGGAACAGTGGAATTTGTGGCAGTGATTTTTCTTATAAATTCTTCCTTGTGATGAAGCTTTTGTCGTTGACAAGTAGCTTGTTTCCCTCAACCACATTTTCTTAACCTTGTGGCTATTTGAATCGACAAGATGAATATGGCTCATTTACAAAATAGCACTCCTGATTGGCCTCCTCTAACTGAAAGATTATGTTAGCATATGTCTCTTTTTCATATTCGTGCGATATAATCCCCTCTGCTTCGTTTCTAGTGATCTGGTTCAATGCTGTCCTTAGCTAAATACTAATTCTGAGTTTATTTTGGACCGCAGTGGTAAATACCAACGGTAAAACTGCTTTTCATGCGTGCATGTTATTCTAACCAGCAAAAGATGGAAACGTTATCCCCGTTAGATGCTGCCTTTAGTTATTTAAAACAGTCTCGAAACTGCTGCCCAATATTGCTCAAACACAGGCTACGTTGGCCAGTGACCTAGTCCCAATCAAGCCACAACTGCTGAGGAGCCCAAACAAGCATGAAACATGAGTGGATGGGCAAGACGGCGTAAAAGCTATAAAATATGTTAGGTCACGCGTTTTGAAAATCCCAGTGGAAATGCATTTCAATGAAACAACATCGGTTGGCTCTGTAATGTTTCAGTTTGTATTACTAATCTAATTTCGTAGTTGGAGTTTGAGAAAAATATTAGCAACTGGAGTATTGCGTTTATCTGAAAATAATGGGACAGTTGCCTCAATAATTTCACGGTTGCTCCACATCCCAAGCGGTTTAACAATTTACACAGGATGTTTGCAAAATTCATCCAAATGATTGCGCATCACAGCTAATTTGTGCCGGACAGAATCAGATATCAGCAATAATCATTGGTTCCCACCGCCTTCTAATAAACCAAAATCATACTGAAATCCGTCTACTCATCAGTAACCAGAAAAACTTTGGGTCGAAAAATAGGTTACAATGTGCATCTATCGGTCAAGCGTTGTAACATATTTCACCTTTTTTAAAATCCGTTTACTTCATTTTCAGGTCGTTTGTATTCCTTCTGTGCCTTCGCCCAGCGTATTGGACTTTTGATTAGCCTAACGGCTCTACCTTTGGTCTATGCTGCCACGGTGGCCACATTCGCCGGTGCTGTTTACATTGTCAGTGCCATCCTCCTGGGAATCGGACTCCTTATGACTTTGTACGAAAGTTAACCAATTTTTATTGCAATCGTGCCATGGATAATAGAATGTAAAGTCTAAGGTTGATGAATGTAGCAATTTTGGAGATTAGGATCCAGTGAGATGATTATGAAAATTGTTTACGAGCCAACATTTATTGTCTCATCAGTGGCATCACACTAGCAGGAGCTAATTTGTATATTGGTCATAGGGTGACAAATTGATAATCACATGTACTAAAGGAACAAGTGGCCTGAGACTATAGGATTAAGATAGACGAAGGTTTCCATCAGATTGTTTTTCCGCATACTGGACTGGTCTTATCCAATTGTTCGCCCCGACCACATTAAATCGCTCGAAACAAGAATTAAGATGTATTACTGCAATACAAAACCAACGACTGAACTAGCTAAAGTGCACTTTCGTTATACGCTGAAACCAGTCTATTTTGATCGTCAGACCTTCGTGATCTTTTAACTCACTTGGACACAACTTCCTCCTTATGTCTCAGCACTGGTACGGTATTGACAATGCAGGAGAAAAACCCATGCTTGTTGATTTCTCAACTCTTAGTGCTAATGATTTGTCTACATTATAGTGGGTTCCGGTTCATCAAGGATGCAGATCTAGCGCTTTGTGCAACTTGAAATCCAGCTAGGAATTCGATTCGGATGGTTATCTAAGTAAATGGACCATCTCACCTGTCGACGGGATACCACGATCAATAGACTCTCCGCATGTGCTAACCTCATATCTATTGGTCAAAAGCTTGATCCAAACAAACATCTTTACGCTCCTTTATCCAGTGATGCTTTGCCACGCCACGATACGTTGTAAGCCTTTATCCAGAAGCCTAGTCAAGTAGGTCACCAAAAGAATGGTATTACAATACCACAGAAATAATGTATACTGTGCTACCATTTAGATCATGGCCATCACAACAGGTAATGCAAATGTTTACTTTATCCCATTCAGATAAGAACTGTGCTGCAGAAGTTGTGATAATCAGCAGATCTGGAAACCTGTTCCTACTTTTGTTGATAGAGTATCGGTAGCAAATCACTTTGCTTTTACCGCAGAGCCAACCACATAAGTAAAACGGACACGGTCTTGAATTCCAGATTGAAGAAACACTTGCCGGATTTGTATTTCAAATGACCTCAATCAAACAACATCCTATGCTCCGTTATCACTTAACCTCGCGGCGTCATCCATGGGCAGGAACATCCTGGAGCCTAATCATCGGTTTATCCATGTCTTGGTCTTTTTCAGATTATAGTACACTGTGCTAATTCACGCCACTTGCGGCTGGTTGGGTCCATAGCCTTAGACTAGATACAAACAGCTTTGAGCGCACAAAAGCAGTCTATTAAAAACTGTAGTCTACCTTGGTCCCATGTCCATAGCTGCTTGTCCCCTCTACACATGGCTGACTGGATAACACACTCAGATTAGTACGTACAGTAACCCTCCTTACAGTACTTGTGCTCGAGTAAAGTCAAGAACGCACCTATATACAACCGTGGTAGGTGAATTTTCAAATTTGTCACACATGCTGTAGATATGGCAGAAAAGCAATTCAAAAGTGACAGAACAAGTGGCAATTTGCTCATTAAAAAACAACCTCACTGACAGAATTTACTGGACAGGTCCTGAACAATAGCGTTTTGGTCAAAAAGAAATGTGACTAAATAGGGAGTGACCGACGAATCATAAGCTTTCGCCTGGCCTTTACTGCTCTCTCCTTTTGTCTGGTTGACAAGGTAAATATGCTATTAAAAGGTGTATTGTGAACAGTTTGGCTAAAATCCGTGTATTTTTGAAGCAAGTTTAGTACATCTGTTTGCTTGCGTCGATAAAATTGTTTCTATAAAACGGCTTTGTATAAATTATAATTTCTCACTGCATTATTCAAACTAAGAATGCTAACTGGGTGTTTTTGGCTAATCTTAGGATTTCAGTTGCTATTACGGTTAACACACTCTTATTATTTCTTCTGCACAGAGGTTAATTTGGTTGGTACTTTTATGCTGACCTAGTTTTCATAACATTAGATCAAATTCTCTATCGTCACCAGAGCAGCCATTACATCTCGGTTCCCTATACCTGCCCTAAGGGATACGGGTTTATTGATTTCTCTATCACGGAATGTCAATGTCGGTGACTATGTCATTTTGCACTCTGAGCTATGAACGTGGGAGTAGAAAACTTTGGTGACTTTTATTATAAATATTCACATGGACAAAGCTGTGTTATTGGATGTTTTCATTCTATGCATCAAAAATACCTGGTAACACAATTGTTTGACCTACCGAATATAAAACGAAAGATAAAGTCTGAATGAGTCCATTTTAGATTGATTAATAGGAAACAAGCGAAAAATATTGGCATATCATGTTTTCATTACTTTTGCTACCATTGGCCATATTTCCTATTTCACATTTACAGGGAGTTATAAATGGACAGCATTGGGTTCATCGTTATAGTGTGTTTTTCAGTATATCTCTCCCTAGTAACCCCTATTGTAGTTACATCAAATAATGAATGAAAACCTAATGAATTAAGTATCCGGAAACCAATTTTGAGCCTGATACTCGGTCTGACTGCTGTTTATGCAATCCTCAGTCTTTTGAATTTTAGGTTCATCTTTAAACCAATTGATAGCGTTTGCTCAAGCTAATTTATTATTTTATTTTCAGCCTTCTTCCACTTATCCACCGGCAGGGAGTTGGACAACATTTAGTTAAAATTTGACGACGTTCAAATTTCCGTGCATAAAAATGCTTCAAAGAACTTTGTATCTCCACGTCATCCTTCGCCAATTCATACATATTTTACTAACTGATTTACCACACACTTTCTGAGCTGGGAACAACGCTGGAATTAAAAAGTATGATTTTAAAACATGCGAGATTGAACGAGAATGGACTAGGCTCCGCCTGTCATTAATTTTCGCAACTGAAGTAATGGAAAATACCGTATTATCAGGGAGGGGATATGTACCACAATATTTAGTCGAATTTCTTCAAACGCTTGACTGTCGGGTACTGTATAACAAACATCCATTTTTCCGGACTGAATGCTTTACTTATACAATCAACGGTCGATCGAAAGGCGTCCATCTTTTCCATGCTGCACATAGAAACAAAGAAAAGAGTGCACGAATGTTACGGAGAGTGTATTAAATCTTACGAAATATGGAAGGTGGCCAAGCTGCTAACATTTTGGTTGCAGCTGATGCCTCTTTTATTTGCACAGTCGGAATTATACGTGGGAGAATCCAAGGATACAAACTTGTCTAATCAGCAATTGAAGATAACTAAATGAACGTTGGTTTTAAGATTCTTGATGAAAATATGGGCGTAATACATTTTCCGTCGCATCTTCCGCTACCTATATCATGATCTTCGTATGAGGAGGAATCTGTGTGCGAATAATCATAGGCAATAGAACAGTGATGCACTACGGGTAAAAATCTATGCTTAACAAGTCTCGTGAGGTGCACATTGTTAAACAAGCAATATTTATTATGAAATGATACCTTTCTTAGTGGATTCACCGTAATGACTGTATTCAGACATGTGTAGAATATCCGAGAAATTCGGAAATTCACCGTTTGGTTGAGTTTTGTACCTTCTGCTCACATGTCATAAAATAAAATACGAATGGGACACTCCTTTGTCAAGTCGTTTTTTAATATCGTTAGTTTTGGAGCAGAAACGACTTAAATTAGGAGAACATTCCACAGCTGGCACACGCGAAGTGAGGAGATAATTCTGTGACATTCCAGCCGACTATACCGTAGTGTCAGCTTCAAAGGATGAACTATTAGTTTGGTGCTGCAATTCAGTTCAAGCAGCGAGCGGAAAATATGTTTTGGATTCTTCAGAATGTGCTAAACCATTATGAGGTCGCTCCGCAAGCGCTGATACCGACTGCATCAAATTCCTAGGGAGTGCGGTCTATAACTCCACCATTACTTGTGCACGAAGCCAAAGATGCATTATGCAAACTTTTCTCAATTTTGCATTTGCATCCAAATTTAACTTGCAGAAGAATAAGGAACTTTTGTTCGAAATTTATAAATACCAGGTGCTTGAGATTACTCGATATTTTCAAATGCCTCAAATGGAAGGCATTCGCAACTACCTGAATTGTTACGAGGCAGTGTCACAGGCGTTTTTCTTTATCAACGCTGGGTGTAGGGAAATTTTGCCATTATTGGTTCCATTATTTTTGTCACAAGGGAAGAGTAGCGGCCCCTTGTGATTTGCTGGCATGAGATGAGCAAATCTATATTTGCACGGTTTGTCTTGAAAACAAAACGTGTACCTGAAGTAAGTTTGCCCGTCTTCGAAGCATTGGCTTATCGCACGACCAAGTGAAATGGCTATGATGCATGTTTCATGGTACGAAATATGTACGTAAATTTGCAGTGCTCTATACACATATTAAAGGAGAGCAAGTGATGAAAGACGTATGTCAGCAGCACTTAACTCATGGATTAAAGAATAGACAATTTCACTGAAGCTAGATAAAGCAATTGATGTTGAATGCATCCATCTTAATAGAAACGCGATTGTCTTCCTTTTTCGACAACTTCCATGTCACCAAATCGAACGTACGTTGTTATACCCCAACCCCGTCATACTGAGCCCGAAGTATTTTCCACCTGATACAGAGTTTTCGGAGAACTATGCTTTTGCACTTCCCGTGGTACTGCCGGAATTAATTTCCAGCAATGAGAAAACGTCCGTTATGTGGGTGATAAACGCTTTCTACACAAGGGCAACTTATGCAGTACAGAAGATAATTGCTCAGTCAAACATAAAGTCGCAGCTGTACAGTCAGCATAATTTGTTTGAATTCTTAAAAGCTTAGATGGTCAGGACTTTTTACATACACAAACGTGGAACTAATATGTCATCCATCAAAAAACTGAAATTATGAAACTTTATTCATGTGTTGCTTTAGAAAGAGTGAGTATTTTCCTCTTGGTTACTTTCGTACCAAAGAAGCTGCGCAATTTCTTGACCTTCAATTACTGACGAACAATAAGTTGAAATGAACAGCGTTATTAATAGTTGCTGATCATACGCAACCATGCATTCTCATGTGCCTGTATGCACCATATGAAACTATAGGATGTCGAAATTGTGATTCAACCAACCTGTATCCCGGAGATTTGGAATCGTTAGTAAAGGTGAGTACGTTCAAGTGGTTACAAATCCAACCTGTTGGTTAACGTGTGCATAGCAGAAATGAAGCGGCAAGCAAGTGGCGCATCGGGCCCATTTGAACACGATAAATAGATGGTGTCCGTTCATTGGCAACAACATTTAGTACTACTTTTGTTCTGTAGTTCGACATGTTATTTTCCAAACATTCATGTTTAAAACAAATACAACCATAGTCATCATTGTCCCTGGTTTAGTGACCACAGTTTACAAACGTTTGCAATTTTCGGAGTCCAAGCAAGCAGATTGTTACACTGCAAATTTTATCCGTTGTTATAGGAAAGCAGTGCATTTAGTGGCATGGATATGCACAAAGCTAGATAAAAAATGCAGAAGGTATTTAGTAATGAGTAGACATACTGAAGTTACGGCTATAGCATAAATCGCTTTCTCATGGCACGCCTCAAAACTAGTTCCTATCTTGTTTTCCTCATAAGGCTTTTAGTAACGAAGTTCAACATCCATTAAATCTTAGTGTAAAGCTAGCCATGCTCCTCTGAGTTAGCTCCTATTTTCTCCATCAATTTGTCGAAATGTGCATCAAGAATGCAAACTTTGTGATTCAAATGTGTTGTATAAGTCAGAGAGTGCATACACCCATATGTATCCCATGTTAGGATAGTTTTGTTTGTGACTCTTATCCAGTTGAATACCGAACATTGAATGTTGTTTTGTGGGCGCAACTTGATAGTTAAACTCCTACAACTCCAACTTAATATGATCGAACATGGCGTAAGATGTATCAGCCACTTGTTGATGGTCTAGTCGTTTTTAAACTTAACATATATCGTTTAATAAGGTTTCGTTTACAGTACCATTAGGTTGAAAAATGTAAGAAGCTATTGCTAGTGTGCAATTGTAGTATAAATCTAATAGCAGTGAAATGTTAATCCAACAATGTTTTGTACTGCTGCAAAACTGCGGCTTATTTGACTTGTTCTGGCGGACTGCTCCAAACATTTACTCCTCTCCGCTCGAAGCACGGGAGTTGGAGAACTCCTTTGATAACCGGCACCACGAGTACCGTATTTTTCGGACTATAAAGAGCACTTAAAAGTACATGTTCTAAAACGTGGGCAGTGCGCCTTATATTTCGGTGCGACTTAGGTATGAAGGGTTATGCTGAGGCATAGTGACCTCAAATCAATTTCTATGTTCGCACTGCGCTGAAAAATCTGTCCAAATGTTTTGTTACGACTTTGATTGTCGAAGCATAATCGTTGGTCAGGAACCTCTTTGAGTCGACCTTTTATGTTGTCTAGATAGAGTTGTTTTGGGGGTGATGAACTCCTTGCAGAAACCAACTTATTCGAGATTTTCTGTCGACGGTAAACCAACCAACTAATCATCCATCCACGCTGATATCCCATCCTTGGACATGTGTGATGTTTACTCCACCGGGCAAACTCATTTGGTCCAACAATGCACCTCGCAAACACTATCCAAAACACGCCCCTAAATCTTGCTCTTTTCAGGTGAGTGTTCGAACATACCATCTGCGTTTACACCCGTGTGTTTTATGTAAAGGCGTCATCTCTCCATCCGCACAAGAACCACCACCTCGCAGCAACTGCCAAAGGCTATCCATAGGCCTAATCTCGCAAATTCCCAAGCACGCCCTCGTGCAATCTGCCCCATGTTCACGCTGACACATTCGACTCGCACGCCAGAGAGGACAGTCTGCAAGCGCATAACTGCAACGTGAACATTGTGACCTTGCAGTCAACATAAGTGACTGAACAACTTTCTGCCATAGAGGGTGAATCATGCAAACGGTTTGTAACATTTGCTCAACGAGTGCGATGTCTATCGTGCCACAGTCTAAAGATGTATATGGATCATGTTCTAAACTTGTTAAGAGGGACATTAATTGCTGTAACTGTTATAAGTTTTTCCATGCGAGATGCCTCCGAGTTAAACCTAGTCAGGCCGTTAATAAACAAACCAGCTTATGTATGGTTCTGCGTGGAATGTACATCTATCATCCTGACAAAAAGTGTGCTCTTATCATGTCAGAAGTATGGCCAGATACTAGCCAAATTTTAGGATATGAAGACCACAAAAATCACCACGGTTGGGGTAAGCAAAGCGGACGGTGCAACCCAAACCTCCCCGGAAAGTGCTGCTCCTATCCTGATGAGAAGGTCTAATAACACCGTAAGCAAATCGACACTAAGAGCCCAGAAAATCAACTGCTATTCCAATATCACACATGGTTCAAATTTAACAAATGCGATTTTCAGTTTAATCGGAGCAACTACACGCGAGGCAATGTCCAATCTGCTGACGGAGTGGGTAGAAAAGAACAAGCCGGTACTAGCGAAACTTGAATTACGGTTACTTCCAAGAAGAACCGTCACTTAAACTTAACATCACCCCCAACTGGATCGGAAACTGTGGAGCGTACCGGAGTTCTTCTGGTGCAAGCACCACCGGTTTCCTGCTGTACATCTCCAAGTATTTCCATCACTAACCGCGACATGTCGAAAGGTGTAAAGAAACAACTACCTGTACTGAGCGTAATGTGCTCCAATATCCCAGAATCAAAATCGACATTAGTGAGAAGCAGGCAGTTAGATGACCCCAACCCGTGAGATAGTAATAGTAACCTAATCGGAGTTGTACTGAAACCTTCACACTTAGTGCTTATTATGCGGCTTCTCAACTCTAAGCACTACAGCGAACCAAGACTTCTGCGCTCGCATTAGTTACTGACTTAACCCTCTGCTGGCTTGTTACGTGCGAGTCGTTTCACTTATTCAATCACGGTTTAAGCTGATAGTGGCCTTGACGTAGGGTGACGTGCGAACGGACCAAATCAGAGTTTGCGCCTATTTTGCCGATAATCCATCACCATCTTACAGCTCATGG